TCCCTACAAAATTGCTGGCCTCAAAAGTTTGCTTTTGCAGGCTTAATAATGTATGCCCAAGCTTCTGGTTTCTTAAACGTAATGAAGTCATATTCTCCTTGGTCTTGTGTCCTTAAGGATCACTTTTGATAATCCTTTTTAATGTGTTTTCCCCCTTGCTGTTTGGCCTGTAGGTATTTTCCGCTTATTCTTGAATTAGGTAGTTCAAATAAGGTCACTGTGGCAGCTTAACTTAGTGATCTATGAAATTAAGTCTTTCATTTGGTACTGGGCTTTGAGCTTGAAGAAGTAGAAAGTACCAGAAACGTCATGCTTTGGAGCAGAAGCTTACTGTATCATCATGAGAAGTTCTCGACCATGGGATCTCTCTTTTCCCTTTGTAAATATCTTAGAGGAAGGAAGACACCTAGACTCCTTTATCAAAGTGCTTTATCAAAGTGCTTTCCTGGCCAAAAGACAAAAAGCGCTTTCATATGGAAATGAAAACTACATGGTAGTTATATCTGCTTCTTTCACAACTAAGAGGAAGTTCACATGGAAGAACTTTTCTGCTCAGTCACTGAGCCTTCTTGTGTGGGTACCATACTCTCTGTTAGAGTTCAGCATGTGAGAGTTATTTTAAAATTGTGTAGGTGGAGTCATTTGCTTCCCATCAGTCTGCATAAATAGGAATTTTTATTTGTAAAACTGCTACTTTATAGCAGGCTAGAAGGACGAGCTGGCAGTTCTTTCCACTTCTTTACTTTTGCTGTTGTTTGGTTCGGATGTTTTACAGGTGATTTTTGTCTCTACACTGTGTGGCTGTTTCTGTAGCTGCTGCTGAATGCTCGCATCCACATCAGTCTGGGCTGGGGAATGGAAACCCTTTCTTTGCTGGTCTTCAGGGCCAGGGTTGTGTGAGGATCTGATGCTCAGATAATCATCTCCCCTTCTTCTTTATCACTTCCTGAGGCAGCCCCTCTCTAATATCCTAATGAGAACCATAACTTATGATTTCTCTAGGATTGTTTAGAAATGTGAACCATAAACAACAGGCCTGTCTATAGCAGTCACTAGCATTTTCCACCATGCAAGGTAGGTATTAATCAAGGAGGTTTTTTCCACCTCCTCAAAGAGTCCAAAGCCTGGAAGTCCAGAGGTAATAAATAATAATAATAAAAAAAAAAGTAATTGGACAATGTTTATGAAAGAAATGCCATCTAGAGACCAGGAGGAAAAGGTGCTAACAATGTGTATTATGTGTCTCCTGATCATTGTCCCTGCCTGTCGCTTGGGGGAAATACAGGAGTTACTGATTCTACATCAGAGGAACCAAGTCTACAGAGGGAATCATCCAATACCTACTTACATCTTCCTAGAGAAGGTGAGGTGGTGGTAGGGAAACGGGCACAGTTTCAACAGGAAACCCACTCACTCTTATTGTTTGACCAATTAGCCACAATGGGAAAAATAGCTGTATACTGCAACATAAATTAAGCTAGTTCATATAACGTTGCCCACTGCTGCGAGATAGTCATGTGTTGATTTGAGTCAATGTAAAATAGCAATCCAACATGCTGAAAAGCCTTAGGAGGGCTGGGAGGATTGGGTTAGGACTTTTCTGTATTCCACTAGCTATAGCAGTGTGACTAAAAGTACATGCACATTATTAATTTTGGCAAAATAGCAGTGTATTCAAGCTGCTTGAGAATAAGCTTGAAAAATGCCAGTTTAAGGGCTGGACCTGTTCATACTGAGGGCTTGTAAGAGCACCGGATCCTTCATACTGGGGCTCTAAGACTTGGCTCCCCTCCCCAAATGCAGGTGGAAGTGAACAAATGAAATAAAGAAGCTACATAGTTTAACCTGCATGCTCCTTTCCCTGGTTATTTTCTGCTAGTTTGCTCTCTGGTGAGGCGGCCAGCCTTCAAGACCTATAAACGGACAAACTAATCCAGCATCAGAAATGCTCCCAGCTGTGGCAGCAATTCAGTATATCTCTCCCTGCTCGCCCCCCTTTCAATCTAGGTGATTTACACTTAAGCATTGAGGCTTATTTTAGCTGCTTTATCCTGTCTATCACCATTACATGTCTAAGCTGGGTGACTTGCCTTTGGAGGGATGCTTGCCATTCTCCACTGATGAGAGGGAGCCCAAGGACCTCAGTGAGGCTGGACTGGATGCCTGACCCAGATAAAACAAGACAAATTCTGCTCTAAATCTGAAGAAGCTGTCATGCCCCCTCTGCCTTTCATCCAGCTGTTTGTTGTGGGCCATGTGACCTGCAGGTTGCCTTGTGATCCATCACTGTCACTCAGACTGCAGTTTATTAGTCCCCAGGGAGGAAAAACTCATTTCTTTTATCGCCAGCCATGGTTTGACAAAGGCCTGGCTCATTTTCAGTTGTCTGCTGACTGTTTCTCTTGTCTGATTTCACCTTTAGTTCTCCACCATGATCAATCCTCCCATGGGTCTGGGGGGATGCTGCTTAGCAGCGTGTGCTTACCAGCCTGCCTGACCTCCTGTGGCTCAGCTCTGCTGGGTGTGCAGGATGTGCAGTCTCATTCTGTAGTCTGTACATCTTTGCATCTTCTCACCCAGGTGGCTAACTTCTCCTGGTGCAGGGGACACCAGTAGATGTGGTCCTGACCTGTCCGTGTGACGCAAGCCTTTCATTCTGGTGTCCCAGCTTTCCGTTGCACTGTCTAGTTTGCTTCATGTGTCAGTCTGTTTTCAAATATCCATCCGCTTCTTACCTTCCCAGTATCCTCTTCCTTGCTTGCGTAAATGCAGGGAGAAGTTAGTAGTACAAAAGGCTGCATCTGTCCCTCCTAGACACTGCAACACTTCCAGTCCTCAGACTTTTCAACTCTTAAGATAGAAAGGGTCATGCTACTGCCCTGCCTAACCTAATTTTGTGATCATCTTGAAAACCAAAAGTTGTCACACTCCACTTAAGGAATGCTTCTTCGGACAGACTTGATGATCTTAAAGGTCCTTTCCAACCTAAACAATTCTATGATTCTTCTGGAGTATGGTGTGTTTCAGCATGTATTGCTGAAAAGATTAGGCTACGTGTCATTATCTGCCTTTATCAAAAATCAGAAGAGAGAAAATACCTTAAACTTGAAATATTTTAGCTTCTGGTAGTTCTGAGGAAAAGTTGTATGTGTAAATAAAGAACACTTACAGATTAAAAAAACAGTGGATAACTTCAGTGATGCACGTACAGTATCATCTGGTTTCAAATACTTGAGCCAGACAGAAATTTCAAAATAATACATGAGGGTGGGAACTCTGAAATTGAAATGCACAACTCGAAGTGATCCTATTTCTTCTTTTTCTCTTTTCCCACCCCCAGTGTGAGGAGACACCTCCGTAATGCTTCAGCTTGGTATACAAAACCATCAGTCCTCTTTGAAAATTTCTGCCACATCTTGTAACATAGCTTCAGAGTTGTTAACAACCTAATTTGCAAAATTCAAACTCTACTCCTGAACAAGCCTAAACCCAATTTGAGTGATTCTAGTTCTTGTTGGTACTTGTGTTGGTAACTATGTTTTCTGTATGTTATGTTTTTTAGGTACTCCTTTGTCGTAGCTATGGGATACCTCACATTGTGCCACATAAGCCGAATATACATTTTTCATTATGGTATTCTCACTACAGATTTTTCCGGGTGAGTGAGTCTGCAAACTGGGTCCTGTGTCAATTAGTATTAGTTCAATTCAGTACATTTTAAGAATAATTTTTATGTTATCTGTTGAGCACCTGCAATTTTGTTTCCCTTAAGCTTTTTCTAAGACTTTTTTTTTTAAAAAAAGAAAGGAATAAAGACTGTGTGGTGGGGGGTTTTTTGTTGGGTTTTTTTTGTTGTTGTTGTTCGTTTTGGTTTGTGGTTTGTTTGGTTTTTTTGCATTGACTTCTCTTTTCTGCTGTTCTCATGCTAGGCACTGTCTGGTTAGGAAGGTGGAGCTTGGTTAGCTAGACTTCCACCTAGAGCAGCCTGGGAGAATGAGTCTACGCAGTTGCTTGCTTGTGCTGGAGTAGTACTTACTAGCCCTGGCCAGCAGCACGACTGGTCGGCTGGTGCTCTGGTCCCTGGTGGTCTGCCCTAAGAGGTGGGGTGGGCAGCTCTCCTTCCACCTTCCTAGGCACAGCTGGTGGCTCCGGATCATCCTGACCCCCTGTTACGATTTATCTTGATCTACCAACTGGGAAGGTGTTTCCCACCCCAGGCACTGCAGTGGGTGAGAAAGGAGGACTTGGGCAGGGGGAGCTGGGAGGTGGATGAGTGGGTAACTTGGGCAAAGAGACAGATCAGCTTTCACTCTCAGTCGGTCTTACAGGTTCTCTCACAGGGACAGGTTGTGGCTGCTGTTTAAATAGAGCAACTTTTTATATGCCATGCATTTCTGTGGAACAGTGTTTCTCATACACACTGTCTCATACACACACTCTATTTGATTTCACTGAAGCTATAGAGGATGCTTTGCAAAAATATAGACAGATTACTCTATATACTTTGTTTATGAAAGGAAAGTATACTTTTACATAATCTGAAAGCGGTGTGCTAATCTGTATTCCACTTGTTTAATTGAATGTCTTGAATACAGAGTAATTAGTAACTTATTATGCAAAACTCTGTAAACTGGCACAGTAAGTTACAGATGCCACTTCCAAACCTCTATCTTCTTGTAGGCAACTGGAGTTTTTTGCTGTCTGTGTGGATGTGTCTCTGTGTGAGATGGTGGTGCGTTGAAGCATTTAATTAAATTGGAGGGGGGAAGTTCTTCTGAGACTTTTGAGTTTTCTTATTAGAGCAGGGGGCAGAAATGGGAGCTCATACATTTAGAGAAATTTAGTTCTGTGATTTTTTGCGCAGTTCTTTTAATACACAAAAGTGTGTCCTGAAAGAGCATGACATACCAAGAAGCCTATAAATGGGATTGGAATGCTATAGCTCTGTGTGTCTATGAGACAGAGAGAAATAGGAGAGAGCATTCTTTTCTGAATAGTGCATTCAGAAATGCACTGTGAGGCATATTAGCTGTCTCCTCTGAAGACATTTAATAAAGATCCAGCTGAGACTGGGGCTGGAAGAAGAGGAATGGTGGTTGTTTATATTATAGACTAGGTAGCATTTTCTGCTCTTTTGATGAAAAGGGAGCTGCTCTTATTTAATGATGACTTTGAGGATAATAATGGTACTGAAAGAATAATACCTGAACTTACTCTGTTATTTGATTTTGTCCTGATGCTTCAAGATATAAACAAATTCCTAAACTTAAGTCAAACATAAAACTGCCAAGTAGTAGATAACTGGAAAATGTAGTATGGATATGAACTATGTCTTCACAGTATATCTAAAAACTAAGAATAAATAAAAATATTGTAGTGGTATTAATAAAAAATTACTATCCAAACTGCTCAGACCCAGGTCAGCCTCATAAACCTGTCAAAATCTGTTTTCCTCAGCTGTAAATAATATGTGCCCACTGAGGCTTTATGCGCATACCTAAACAGATGTGATGACCCAGAGAGACAAAAATATACTCCCTGCCCACAGTTTTACCATGTATGAACAGCAACTGAACCTCCTCTTGCTTGTTCTCCCATGTTTGATGGTTCCACGTCTATTGCATGGGGTAAAAGGGAAACATTCAAATAGGCTCCGGGCTGGAAGGATGGCCTTAAAGTCCTCCCTCAGGACTTAAGAAATAACTGAGACAGAATCCGTGGAGCAATGACCATCTCCCTCCAGCCTCGCATCCTTTTGGGCAAACATGGATGGAGATATACACTGAGAAGGCAAAACAAAAACACTGGAATTGAGGGAATCTTTAAAAGGGAACAAAAAGCCTGTCATCTGCTGGCTTGTATTTGAGATCTCAGTATCCCATAAGTCTCTGGTGCTATCTGATTGCAAGGAGGAAGTTTTAATCCACATCACATAGGCAAGTAGCCAGTTCTAGTGCCATCAGCTTTCCAATGTCGGTTCCATAAAGTGACAAGCCCAATGTTAAATGAGTGTTTCCCAATGTTAGTGCTAAAAGCTGGCATACCTCATTTGCTGTCTTGACTTGCTTTGTGCACTTAACAGTTTGCATGCATAACCCTTTTGATGTGTGCTTGCAAACGTATTTTTTTTGTTCTTTAGTAATAGTTGGTTGTGCTATTTGTTTGGAGTCCCACCATTTTGAGAACACAGCTTATAAAATGCAGGTAGAGATGGACAGAGAGCAAGGTAGCTTTTGAGTCATGTCTTACGTAAAATAGAAAATCAAACTGTGACTCACCACTTCAGGGTTAGGAAGTAAGGAAACTTGTTCTGTACTGATGATTAGTTAATTCTTCTAACTCATGCAAAGGGTAGGTTTGGTCATTGACTCCCACAACCAAAACTGTACTCAAGCTGCATGCAGCAATTTCTTGATTTAAGAGTGTTTCATGTATCGCACAGTACGTAGGTAAAAAATCCATTTTTTAAACTACATGCCAGGTTTTAATGAAAACCAGTTCTAATTTGCTACACTTTAATTCTAATTGCTTTTTAAAAATTGTATATATATTTTATCAAAGTTCTTTTGTTTATATTATTTCACAAAAATATGGTGACATAATTTGGGAATTTTCCCCTGACTAGTTTCTCAAATAAAACTACTCATTTTTGAACACTAATTGTAAAATAACTGAATGCCGTGCTTCCCCCTTAATTCAAATTCTCTCTGTTTGAGAGAAACATGCATATTTTATTTTGCTTGGTTTGCCATGGCATTTATACATTGTACCTAGGAATACTAAATCCTAACTCTTTCTCTCTCTTTTTCTCTCTCTTATTTCTTCTTCTTTATGCTAAGCGGATTATGCTGGTAAGTTGCCTGGTTTCTATACAACTTTATAAAAATGGTAATACTAACATAGTTTGGTTTTTTTCTTTTTCTTTGTATCACTGGCTTAGATTGAATATAGTAATATCCTGGCTTTAGGGAGAAATTAGTTTAAAACAAATCAAGGGATCTTCATTGGGATTTTTGGAAACTAGTAATACGTACGGTTTCAATCTAGCAAGCTACACGAACAATTGCCATATGCATATAATCATCTGGATGGAATTCAGAGGAGCTCCTCATCCATATGAAGTTGTGTCTGCTTTAATCCTCTGCTTGATTAAGACCACAGAGCTTTTTGGTTTCCTCTTTGAATTCTTGCAGTGCCTGAGCAAAATTTCTGAATATCGCAGCTCATTTGGTGAATGTCAGGGAATGATTGTGCATATGTGAGTTTCTTGGTGCCATTCCTTACAGAAAAGAAACTCAGTTTGTGAAAATCATCACACACTGGCATTAGTTTCAGTGTTCTATTGGTCTTAAAGAGACCTGAGCTGAATTGTCAGGGAGACTCAAGCAGTTTTCCTCCCTATAGATGTCAAATCTCTACCTCTTGTAAAAGTGTTTTGGTGGACATCACTGTCCAGAAAGAATGGGCATCTTTACACGTTCCCTCTATCCCAAATGCAGAATAGAAGCAGCATTCACAGCAAACTGCTTAGAAAGGGGTAGTCCTTGAAAGTGCCCTCTCAAAAAGCCATATAAGCAGATACTTTAGTAAGAAGTGTCACTTCAGGCAGTGAATTTTTGTTGGGTGGTTAGTGCTTTGTTATTGGGTTTTCCCCTCTCAGTGGCTTAGTGTCAACCACAAAAGAAAGGAACAAAGGTACAACAGCTGTTTTTTTTACAAAGAAAATACGTTTGTTGATGGAAACAAATCATAGGTGTACTCTGTTACCATGTTAAAACACAATCCAGAAATACTAACTGATCCCGTGAGTTCAGTTGGTTATTTTTATTTTCTTGTCTTTTAAATGTATGAAGTGCAATACATTGCCTGCAGTGTATGTTCCAGCAGCTCTGGGTAACTTTGGTCCACAGGAGGTCCCCAGGGGCAGTACAGCAGCGCACGTGCAGGGTGCGTAAGGGGAGGTCAGTCAGTCCTCCATGCCCGCTCACTGCTTGGCTGCTCCGCTGGGCGTTTGTCTGCTTGAAACTGCACTGAGATCACTTACCATGGGTTACACAGAAGCCCTGTGAGAGCTGCAGTGTCGGAATTAGCCAGAATTCAAACAGGCAGTCGCTACTAGGGAGATCCACAGATCTAGTGCACCCCAGGACACTTCTCCAGAAGTAAATACTCTTTTAAGTGAAATGCTTCTATCATGAAGGCATAAGAAACGCTCTTTGGGAGCTTTCACCAAAAAACCCACATGAATTGAAGTTGCTTTGGAGGCATGAGCTTGTTTAGTGAAGTATTTTTCCTCTGTGTGCTTCAGCACTTCTTTGTTTTGCTGTCACAAGCAGAAGTAAGAACCTACTGCCAGTGAAGCCGTTGTGGCATCTCTGGCTCTGCAATCCCCTCGGCAGCATGTTTAATGTCATAGCAGAGTGTGACTGTGTGAACTTCTCATCATGGCTTCAGGGCTAAAGAGAAAAACCTGAAATAAATGTTTGCTGTTTTGCACTCTTGTCTGCAATGAGCCTTTTGACTCCACCTCTTCTCATAGTGAAATCAGGTCAGTGGAAACTATTTCTCACGAGCGTGTGCCAGACTCCTCCATGGGATTACCGAAGGTCAGGCAGAGTCTGCGTGGTAAACGTCTTTTCTCTCATAAGCATCGAAGCTTACTCAGTGCAGAAGCCTGTGATAGGGTGCGGGGGGGCGGGGGGGGCGGGGGGAATCCCCACAGCAGGCTCCAAACCAGTGCTGGCATCTTTAGTTCCATTGGCCTGTGCCTCTGGGCTAATTTGTTTCACTGGGACAAGCCATGTTTAAAAATGACATTTAACCGGTATGTTTTCATTTGGAAGGTTTAATTAGGAAGGGTAAACCCCTCTATTCAGCATTCTCTGTAAACTGTTGCATCTTTGTTGTCTTGTTTATTCTTCAAGGCATCTAACTTAAAGTAAAGACAGTTTTGGGTTTGTTTTTTTATTTGTTGAAATTTCCTATTTCATACTGACTTCTAGGGGCAATTTCTTGATGTTTTGTTTTGTTTTTTCTTTTTTTCTTAAATTAGAAGTTGGCAAGTTTATGTGTAGGAGGTACAATGCAGCTACAACCTGAGATTAAAATTGTAGCCAGTACATAAAACATAGGGGGCGGGGAGCAAAAAGTCACACCACAGGTAAATTGAATTCTGTGTTTCTGTGCTAGTTTGTAACTGTAGTGCTTAGTAGGATAGGTGAAGAGGAGAGGATGTGGAATCGCCACTCTGCATGAGTTCAAGTCATTTAGGCTTCTTAAATGTGTTTTATTTCAAATGCTTCCTTCCTAGGGGTAGGTCTTCCTGTTTCATCTGTAAATGCAAGTATAGTAGGTAGATTTTCTTTTTAAATTCAACCTAATGTTTTGCCCCACTCCAATAACCTGTACATCTCAAAATTTGGGAGAAAGAAAGGTTATTGGAAGTTTTATAGTTTTGTTAACTCCCTTTCTTGTTTGTAGCACTACTGATTTTTTTTCTTAGATTCTAAGATTTAAAATATTACCATGTTGAAAACAGTTGACTATATGTGATATAATGCTGTATTGACAATTCAATACTCTGGTATTGCTGATTTTTAATAATCAAAATTCACTTGTGTATTGAGGAAATGATGAAACTATTTTTTCCTCCTAAATTAAACGTATTTTTCTTACCTGGTTTTTAATATTTCAAGACTTGCATCCTCATGCATTGCACTGCAAATATAGGGGAACGGAGGACTATTTTTCATTCTGAAGAAACAAAAACATTCTTAGACTTGCTGTATGTGTGTGTGTGATGAGGAGAGATTGGTGAGTCCCCAGGGAGGAGTGGGACAGGTGTGGGTGTGCAGAAGGTGGGGAGCCTCCACATCCCAAAGGGGTGCCAGAAGAAGGGAGAGCTCCAGTACTGCCATTGTTTTGTTGTGCCCTTTCCTGCAGCGAAGGCTTGGTTTCCCAGTGAGATTAAGTCAGTGTGGGTAGATGGATGAGGGAGCAGGAAGATGCTCCCTGTTCACCTGAAACCTTGCTTATCCTTTGTGTGAAGCACTTAATGATATCTGATACTGATCTTGTGAAAGATTTAGAGGGTGTCATCCTGTTGCAACTGTACAGCAGGTTTCCCACCTTCCCAGGTAGGGTATAGAAGAGAGATGTAGATGTGTAATGTGATGGTGGCAGGAGAGAGAACTGAAAGTGTCCCAGATGCAATTTGTGGGTCTCCCTCCCACCCATGGTGTCAGCAGCGTCATTTTTGTGCTCCATGTCTCCTCTGGAGTTAGGATTTGAGGGAGGCAGACATCCGTCTTTTCTGATTAAAATGCACGAGAGGCTGACTTGTTCTGCGGGTTACAATATGCCATCAATGAGGCGATGAATTCCTAATATAGATGAAAAGAACATCTCTCTTCTCTGTGTTTATACATTGTATGACTTTAGTGCGGGCTGCACTTCTGTTTCCCTCGGTTAATCAGCACATCAGGATTGTTTGCATTTGGCTCTCTCTAGTGAGAGAGGTGGGAGGCCCAATTTTCTAAGACAAGTGTCTAAATTTAGGCACTTAAAGGCATATGGTTTTGGCTCTGAGCCTGAGGTTTAAAGTTACCCACTTCAATATTGGCATAAAGCGCTTGCCGTAAGAAACATACGCAACGAATTGAACCAATTTGAAACAAGTGTTAATATTCACCCATAAAACTAAAAGGTCAAGCACTGACAAAATAAGAATCTGTGTTTATTGCAGTAGAACTGCTGGTTCGCTGACAACCTCTGTCTTTCTTAAGGATTAAAAAATTCTGCTTTTTCATATGTGTAAAGGATTGGGATTTATATATCTTTGAAAGCAAAGCTAAACTTTGTCTGAATGGGAAAATACTTCGAGGAATAGGATGTTGAAGATAATGGTGAAAACAGCTTATAAGTAGCTTTTTTTGAAAGATGAATTGGAATAAAAAATAGAATGACTATTTCAAAACATTGTAGTTGTCTGGAAGGTGAAAAGTTATTGTTGAATTTGTCCACTCCTTAGCTGCAATCAGTGGTCTAGGTGACCCAAGGAGAGCTGTTGTACAAACCATTGTGTTACAGTTGTATTCTAGACCTGTGTATATTTAAGCTTGTTCTGGATTTTATGTGCAAGCTTTTTTACTGACATTTCAAGTAGAGACTGCTGAAACCATAAAAATAGTTTCTGATTAAGAAATTGGCTGATGCTGCATGTTCTCTGGTTTTGGGCAGAAAAATGCAAATTACCCACGCAGAATTACATGCAGACTCTTGAAAAAGATCAGCCATATTTAGCATTAAAAAAAAAGAACACTTAGGATGAATGTCTTTTCCTAGTCTTTTCCTGTGTTTACCATGTTTAGCATATTAATTATCTTGAAAATCAGTTTGATTTGTCATAGTGGGATAATGAGATTGCAAACAGTTTATCTTAGCCATTGGATTTATATTTGATTGCAACCAATAGCTTGATTTTAGTCAGGAATGATTCAGAATATCTTGAAAATCTCAGCAGAACATGAATATTTGACTGTTATTTTAGAGATATCATTGAATGTAACTTTTGTTCTTTTTTCCTTCCCTTGAGAAATTGGTGGGAAAAAACCCCAACTCAAACTAAAAAAAAAACCCTTCAACTTTTTTTCTTTCATTGGATTCAAGAAAATATATTATGATGTTTAAAGTGAATAGCCATAATATTTGAAGTAATCATCTATATCTCTTTAAAAAGTTCTGTATACTGGTCAAACTCTGTAAATAGCAGGTACACAAACTTGGGGTTTAATTTCCATGTTGAAGACAACATTTGTGTTCAAGCAGAAACATCTGTATGGTTTATGTTGATAATTTATCACCCAATCGAGAAACAATCCATTGTATGAATCCTCAGAGAAGACAAATCTCTTCTGTGGAACTGGTTTTACATATAATCATCACAAATAAAGGTTAGAAAATAATGATGTATCCTCATCACCCATTACAACCTCCTAGCTATTGCAGTTGTAAAGGTCTTGTAGGTAGTGTGAGATCTGGGCACCATGCTAGTGTCCCCAGTGGCAGAGGGATAGGGAGAGGCAGTGTTAGTAGGTGCTTGTCCCTCTCTTTGCCTGCCATGGGTTCTTCCAGATTATAGCTGTTCAGCACTGGGTTTTGCGTTTAGGGCTCCACAGCCCTTAGAAGCTGTATGTGGACCACAATTAGCCCTGGAACCTCTTCCTATGAGGGACTGCTTAGTTGTCTCCATGGTTTTCCCCACATCTTTCTTCTTACATACCTCTGAATGCTCCTGGCTGTCCCCTTTACTCTCATGGGGATCAGCTCCTAATGCCAGCAAGCTGAGTTTTACCTTTTTTTTGGTTCCTTAGCTACAGCAGCTCACCTTTGCCTGCAGTGCTAAGAAGCTCTGTAAAGCTGGATGCGGGAAGTATAAGCAGCTCTACTGAACATAGTGGCTATTCCTGTGCTGCTTGTTTGGTTGGCCCCAAAGCTGCTGGGTTGTTGTAGCCTGTAAGTGTGGCTCAGGTACAGCTAGCTCATTTTTTTGGGAGGCTCCAGATCCCACATGCCCAAACACCCCTGGTTGGATGGTACATCTTGGACAGGCAGTTACATGGCCAAGCAGCAAGTGGGAAATTCCGCCGTGCTGACAGCTATTCTGG